TGCAGTGATGTTTATATGGCAGTCCATGCTGACTAGAACATGATTAGCGCATAGCGAAGTGTCGTCGGCAAATATAATAATGGCCCGCGTCGTTATTAACTTTCGAGATACATGAGGGCAAGGAGTTGGCACGGCACGGACCCTTGCTGGCATCCTGCATTAATATGTGTAGGGAGATGGCTGTGAAGTCCCGTCCTGATTCCATTGTTTGATGCAAGCTATGTGTGAAGTATATGAGTTGTGGGTGTGTGCTGAGCTGCGGCTGCTACGCCTACAGGATGGTCAGTGTTGATATTTCTGAATGGTTTGTGTACAGCACGTTTGTTTACGCTGCATAGCTGGTTCCACGTATCAAACTGCTTTTATAAGTGATATCTGGCACCACTTCCCCCCAAGAAAACGGGTGTGTCAGGAATGCTGATATTTTAATTTTGTGGGGCTCCTCCCGAAGTTGATTTCGCTCATTATTGGCTTGCTCACCTTATATATTTTTGGAACGTTATAAGGCTTGAGCAAAATTTCAACGTCACAAATCGTATTTTAAAACATTTTATAACAGACCATTTCATGAATATGTAAAAAGGCAGCGAATGCCAAAGATAAAGTCAGCTAAATCTGCTGGGAAAAACGTGCATTTATCGGAAGGTTATTAGGCTCCCAGGTCCTACGGCCCGTTTCCTCTCCCCCTCCCCCTCCACACACACTCACTCGCCAACGTTGCACAAAATGTTGACAAAACGACGCCCCTGAAGCGGGTCTTTGGTTTGCACACGAATGTGCTTGGGACTGCACACATCGAACCATGCTTTTGCCAGTCCGTGTTCCCCTCCGCCAGTATGAGATAATCTCATCTCTTTGCAGCTCATGGTCGAGGCTGTTTCCGACCCGCCGTCTTTGATTTTTTGTTGTTGTCTCGGCTTGAAATGTTAATGTTTCCCATGTTTATCGAGTTGCGAGACAAAATAGTGTTGACATTAGAACGGTACAGAAACACGTCACGTAACCAAACATGCAGTTTACAGCTCGCGGTTGAAAAATATCAGGTAGCAAATATCTCTAACAAAAGATCGTTCTGCTTGTTGCCAAAATGACAGTGTAATTGGGGCCCGTGAAACTATAAGTCCACCAAATGCGTTACTGGCCGTGCTGGGCTGGACTGTCTAGCTACATAATGTATGATAAGACTCGCCTGGCCTTCAGCCCCGCTCCTAACAAGGACAACTAAACGATCTCACTTAGATTAGATAAATTTCGTCCAGCACAGCTAGTAAGCAACGTTGTCAAATACGCTTCATGTCACGGCAACAAACAGCCCTCGGTGAAATTTAATGCAATGAGGACCCGTCTGTCAGAATTGTCGAGTAAAGAGCATGACGTTCTCCAGTGACACATAGTGACATTACGACTTCAGCGACATTACGACCCACCCCGAAGGCAAGAAGCCGATGTCCCATGGTGACCTCCATCGGCGGCTGCCCTTCCGGAACTGACCGCGCTGTGCCACCATCACATATTTTGTGGCGCACAATCTTTACCTCGCTGCAAGCGATAACCAAATCCTCCTTCAGAGAAAATGATCTCAGCTTTTTCTGTTGCCGTTACTCGTCACAAGCAACTCCAGGCGGACGTTTGCCATGGGACCGCGGGTGTGTTTGATCAGCAGGGGCGATGTCTGGTAAGATCCATAATTAACTTCACAATAAATATGTGCCAGCTGCCCCGAGGCTTAGTGGCTATCTCGGCCGGCCATCCGTGCGGGCCGATTGGCTATTCCCTGCATATTAGAGTGGATCAGGCCGCTCCTGAATTATTGTGGCTTAATCATAAGGCTATGAGATTGCTTCACCCGCCTGTAAGATTAAAACAAGGACACTTTTAGATAAACCGACAGCATGCAACAGCCTGGCCTTCGGGAGCCCGCCCATCGCTGACTGGGCGCAATTCAGGTGCCACGAAGAATGGCGGAAGCGGTTTAATCAGCGGTGCAAGCTCAGGGTGACGCGGCTTTGAACCTCGGCCGCCGGCAGCTGGCAAACATTAGGCCGGCTGACCAAGCGTCCGTGCTGCCGGTGGCGTGACGCACGGACGGACGGCCGTCACGACGTCACACAAAGTCAGGTGGGCAGCCCCGTTCTCACCCCCCCCCCCCCCCTCCCCCTCCCTCCAGTATCCGGCGCTCAATCACATGGCGCACGCTGGTGCTGATTTTATCTGTTCGGCTGGCAACGCGTTGTCTACGGCGTGTCCAAACTTCGAGGCTTTGTATATGAAATGCGATATTCGTGCATCGGCTTTGCCGCCACAGAGGGGAGCTAGAAGTCTGGTTGCGGTTGGGCCGAGCTTCTTACAAAGATCGAGAGAAAGGGGAATAGTTTTTACACCCAAGTTACAGTACTGCGCAACAAGAGATGTGCCTAAATAGAAATACAACAATGCGTGAAAATAAAAGCGGTTACGTTGTCTCATAATCCGGGGTAAACAGAACACATGTGTCATGTGACTAAAAGCTCCAGTGTAAACGCTTTGAATAATCGTTAATTTTGGTCCAAGAACGTGTAATAGACCTCGTACGCTGTCTTGCTTCTGGTGTATTTAGGCGTTGACAGCAGAAAAGACATAGTAGAAGGATGCTATTTGCGTATCGCTTAGGTGGCGCACATCGAATGAGCGTGGCTAACCACGCATACGCTATCAGCCTGTGATTACGATCAGTAGTATTCAACAGAGACCCCACCTAAGAATATCTTTATTTCATGTGGGTATGCTGCAAACAAGGAATAAGTGGGAGCGCGGGCTCCCGTGGCTAAAAGCAGAACTCAACCCAAGTCAAAAACATCGCTCTATAATGTGTGCATGCACTTCTCCCTTCCAGTTATTAAGCGGGCATAATGGGCGAGTGGCTCATCATCTCCGGTTCTCACGGAGGAGACCGGTCGAAAGCCCGGTTGGGTCATGACCCCTGAGCGCCGGTATGGCGACTTCTGTCGCTGCCACCTCATTAAAGGGTGCGCTGCGATGTGCATCGCGTTCGTTTTATGTTAAAAGGGTTTCATTTATTGAATAAACTTCATGAGATTCCCAAGCCGAGTATGGCCGATACGCGTTTCGTTGGTGGTAGCAGCATGCCGCCAGTAAGTACGATTTGTATGTTTTTCCTTGATTAGACACCGCACCATCTAGATTTTTGCACTAAACGGAGAATGTAGGTAAGGTAGTCAAATATTTTCATGCCACCATAGTACATAAATATACTGATGATCATTTTTCAGGCATTTTCCTCATGCCACGAGAATATAAAAGGGAGGAACGCAAAACGGTTCTCCAGAAACTGTTACACTTGCTTTCCTGTTCAGAGACGACATATAGCGTTAACTGAAAGGTAGCCAGGGCACCCAGCGCCTCTCAGAGCGTTGATGACCCAGCTGAACGGGACCAGCTAGCACCTGTAGCAATCATCGCTGATGACTCAGGTCACCCGATCGGCACCGCCTTGACCGCTGACCTCAACGGTAATCAGCAGCACTTAATGCAGCCACCAGCCGGCCGTGCGGCTCTGTAGGTACGATTTATACAAGCGATCACTCGCGATCCCATTCTTGCGTGGCACGGTCCCGCCCGGTCGTCTTTGTAAGGCCGATAAATGCTCCTCTCTCGAGTGGCGCTTTTTTGGCTGCCGGCCTTTTTACGCGTTGTCGATAAACACTAAAAACAACCGTGTGCGGGCGTCGGCGGCTTTTTCCTAGGCACTCTGCATGCTTTTTTGCACCCGTGCCGCATCAGCATCCTCCAATTTCTAGAAAAACCGGGGATCGTTGGCTGGAAAGGACCGCATTCAGAGCTAGTGGGCGACCGTGTCCGTCCCTACAGAGCAGCCTCATCTCGTTTGCCGAGTCCCATCCCAGCGTGGCGGTTTTTTTAGTCGGCGGCAAAAAGCCAGGGTCATTGCTCGATGTTGGGAGGAGCCGTCGACATTGGGTCGCTGTTTTCCCGCGGGCTGCCCGGGGTCTCTGAGACAGCTCTTTGTCTTCTGGCCCCCTGTCGCATGCAGACATCTGTGTTGGCTTCAGAGACGTTCCAAAGCGGCGTTGTTCGTCCATGCTGCACTCTTTGAAGTTAGCAGCTCTGGATGGCGCTGGCTGCGCATTCAACCTAGAAGAGATGATGCAGCAGTATCCAAAGCGCGCAATGTGGCCATGATCACTGCAGGAGGCTGCGCTCAACACTCTGATTTCAATTCCACTCACGAACAGGGGCGTCACCTTTGCTCGGAAGCTGCCCTTGACGTATATCGCCTCACGATAGGCCCACGCGCTACAGCCCCGTGCGTTTGCAGTCGGAACTGTTCCGCTGAGTGACGTCACCATCTGCCCGGGCAGGGCGCATGCAACTTTCACTGGCCTGCAGGCAGTCCTAAGACGAGGCCAGTGTCGGGTGCGGGCTGTTACATCCACAGGTGAATAGCGCGGGACTTCGACTGTGCGAGCCGTATCAGGTCCCACCAGGGGGTCAGCTGCGAGCGAAAGGTCGCCGCGGTCCGCGCAGCAGGGATCCCTGACGGATCTAGGTGTGCAAGAATGATGCTGCTTGGTAAATATATTGATCATGGCATGTGTTTCCCTCAAACGAAGGCTTGAAATTTTCCTAGCCGCTCAGTGACCATGTGATTGTGTTTTATTAGGTGAATGCGAAAGGTGCGATCGGGTTTGTTTGCGAGCTAGTTCCAAAAGTAAACCATGCTGGGAAATTACGACTGCTACCGAAGCACGACACACATTTTACCAAGTAAGGTACGCAAAAGGTAAATAAGAAAAGTGATGTCCAAAGAGCCGATACCATGACGCCAACTGCTGTCATTACCGTACTGCATTTCTGTAGGATTTTTTCAGGACTAGTACAATCGGCGGCGAAATTAACCATAGTCATTTGTTTGCAGTGTTACATCATTGCATCTAGAATTGAAAAACATGATGCACTCTTACAATGTATTTGTAGCTACACCACAAATTAGTTGAAAAAATTGTTACTGCCAGGCAGACGGAGCTCCCGATGCTGATGTAATCCGTCATAGACATCTTTTTGGAACGAACGTACAAAGATATATGTTGTTTTCAGCGGCGCCGTAGATGTAAAGCTAATTTCCGTCGACCTTGACAGTGTTTCTCCACGGCACTGCGCCAGTCTTTCGCTTCCACAGCACTTGGCTTGAGCTGGACCCGGCAGTACATGCAGTACGCGCTCTGAAGAACAGTTGCGTTTACAGCTCCGCAGCTCAGCATATCAAACACACAACTATGCTGGATTTGGCGTCTTCAACGCACAAACGTATGCATGAATGTCGAGAGAAGTTATCCGGCTGTCGCAATAAAAACATTATGAGCGCCTTGGTCGTGCTCAGCCTCGTATAAATATAATGTCGAACAAAACAGCGGATTCGATTTGTCCGCTACACATCTTCCGAATAGTCCCAACACATCTCATCGGACGGACACAGCGAGAACACTTGCGCCTTAGTATTACCCGGTGGTCAATGGTCCGCCCCCACTAGCGGCGCGCACACGCATCTCGGCGTAAACAGCTGGGCGGTCTGTGCGACACAGAACATCAACGATCATCATTACAGACACGCAGTTGTACTTGTGGAAACCCGCGCGCTCCAGACTTCGATCGACGGGGCTCAAGATCCGACATCCCGCGCTTGCTGGCTTCGGTATGCAAACTACCGGTGAAACACGCTACACCCTGGCAACCCAAGCAATTTGAGTCCACGATAATAAACACGAAGTCTCGAATCACTCAAAGGCCTGGTATTCGCCTGCTGTGATCGACACAAATACTTGGGTTCTGCGAACACAAACCGCGCACCGGGGGGTTGCGATCTCTTGCCAGCCGGTCTGGGAGAACCCCAACAGTCGGCTTCATCCGCGCTCCGTCGTGTGACGTCATGTCACGTGCCCTGTCACGTGGTCTCCGAACCAAACATGTGGTGCAGGAATATTCGCGTGTACGCCTCGTTGATCGGACCTTTAATGGAGTACTGAGAAGGACCCCGATGCTCAACCTGGAACAAGTAGTTTCGGTCACGCAAAGCGGTTGCACCACACGATTCGGTGTTTGTCTTTCCCCGAGATGATCGCATTCCATTTTGCATTGAATATATATGGCACATTACTACAAAAGGCACAAGCCGCATAGTGTCATGTCGCACATGAGACGTGGGAGGGTCAATGATTAAAGTTAAGGTGCCATTATATCTTCCAGGAATTCCTTACAATATCGACGCAGCCATTCTTGTCTATCTGGCCCGGAAAACCGTGGGCTTTCCCCCGAAAACCAAGAGCTCTCTCTCTCTCTCTCTCTCTCTCTCTCTCTCTCTCTCTCTCTCTCTCTCTCTCTCTCTCTCTCTCTCTCTCTCTCTTTTTTTCTCTCTCTCTCTTTCTCTCTTTCTCACACCCTATTTTTTCAAAAAGCCCACTTTTCCATCATCTCCCGCATCCTTCTGCGTTCCCCAACTCCGTGATCATCCGCCCAGTTCCTCTCGTCTTCGTTATGCCCCAAACACGATGCCGCCAACCAGCGTTCGCCAAGTCCCGGCTTCTCTCCAGGCGCTGCTGGGACACCCGGGCCGCGCTCTTCGGCCGCGGATTTGCATGTTTGACTCGCGATACCCCTCCTGACGAGCCGTTATTAGGCTACAGACCGCCGTCATACACTGTCGTTCTGGCCCCAGATAAGCGTGATAAATGAATATGTAACCAAGACAAACGTGAAAATTATGCCCGGAGGAACACAAAGAAGGCGGCGTGTTCGTGGCAGACAGGCAGTCGGGAAAACGATCGGTCTGGGTGGCGGGGAACAAAAAGGGGAAACAAAAGCGGGGGAACAAAAAAAAAGGGGAACAAAAGAGGACAAGGCGGACCGGAAGTCAGTTTCGACCAGCGTGCCACATCATAGGTGCGACGTTTGGTATCTGGGGAAGCCGGTTTGTTGTGGCTGGCTGAACGCTGCTGCGAGTAGCAGCAAAAGGCTCGTTTGTTATCAGGTAGGCGAGGTATGCTAGAGGCTAAGCACATATATTAAGATACTGAATCAGCATAAGGACGTTAGAAATCACATGGCGAGAACAGGGCGGACAATCCGGTCACATAAAGTAACTGAAAGATAATGAAGAGAGAAGTGGGCGAGAAAGACAAAGCATAGCGATGGGAGAGAGAGAGAGAGGGGGGAGGAAGAAAGAGGAAGGGGAGGGAAATACGAGGGGAGAGGAAAGAGAGAAAAAGGAGCAAAGGGGAGAGAAGTGGAGAGAGAGAGAGAGAAGAGAGAGAGGAGAGAGAGAGAGAGAGAGAGAGAAGGAGAGAGAGAGAGGAGAGAGAAGAGGAGAGAGAGGAGAGAGAGAGAGAGAGAGAGAGAGAGAAGGAGAGAGAGAGAGAGAGAGGAGGAAAAGGATCACGTCAGAGAACCAAGGTGGTTATTACAGAGACAGACAGTGTCACCACGCCCGACCTTCCCCGAGGGGTCACCACCTGTCGACAGGGTGCGTCAGCAGCCGCCACGTCAGCCCTATCCTTCGGCGCGGCCGCCGGCGGCCAGTGCGGGCCAGAGGTGACGTCCGCTGCCGGCGGCGCTCGCCGGTCGGCGCCTCCTCCTCCGCCAGCGGCCAGCGGAGGAGGAGGTGCTGTCGTCGCTGGCGCCGCCGGAGCGCGGGCGGCCCGCCTCCCAGCGCGCTCCCGCGCCGTGTCGGTAATGGCGCCGAAATGAGGGGTTAGCGCGCGGCCCACCCGGGCGGCGGCGGCGGCGGCGCCCCCTGACGGCCTTCATTAGGGGCGCGGATGGCGCGCTGGCGGCGGCGAGCCGCTCTAATGACCGGTGTGGCGGGAATGGACGGCGGGGGCGTCCCGAAAACGTGCGAACGCCGTCTAGAGTAGCTGCTTTAACCGTCG